TTTCAAACACGTAAACAACAAACTGGTAGTGGAAATCGAAATGAAAAAATTCGAACATATAATATACCACAAAATCGTATAACAGATGAACGTCTTAATGAAAATGTTCACAATGTTAATGAATTTCTCGATGGAACTTATTGTTTACATACAATGATTGAACAACTTAAACAACAAGATAGATTACAACGTTTAATTGAACTAACTAATAAATCTTCAAATTAATTTTGATAAAAAAAAAAGAAAAAAGTTAGATTTATCTTTTTTTCTAGATGGAACAAGAAGTATTAAATTTAGCAAATAGACAAGTTCAACAAGCAATTTCAAGTGCATTGTACTGTTTATCACAAATGTCTTCAACAATATTTCAAAATTCTTCATCAAATCGAACTTTAAAATCAAATATTCTATTACGATGTCGATCATCAAGTAATAATAGAAATAATCGAAAAGTATCATTTCATCATACTATTCCACGTTGTTCTTTACCGGCAACAAAAAATGATTTTGTTCATTATCAAACACGTTTATTATCTTATCAACAAACAAATCAAACACGTTGTCGTGCATCACGAAATATTAATAATACTAGTTTGAATAGAACATTTGATGTACGATATTCATTCAGTCTTAATAAACCTTGTTTAACCAAAATCAATAAACAACGATATAATTTAATTAATACACAGAATTTTGCTAATCAACTTGTTGAACATTCCATTCGAACTGCTTTGCTTCAGGTATGCAAAAGTATTACTCATTGTGTTTTCTTCTTGTTTGTGGAAATATTTCCTAATGTTTTTTCTTGAAAACAGATCGATTATCAAAATTTAACTAACCACAATGGAACATCCTGTTTATTTTCACATTGCACTGCATCTCATGCATCTATGGAACGTTTTCAAGCGATAAATTCATATGTTGAACAATTTATTCATTCAACTATTAAGCAAGCAATAGAAAAAATTTCTTCATTTGATATCGAACATTTCTCAAATTGTTTTGCAGAACATAT